TAACGAAATCATTGCAAACCGGGAGAAAGATGCTCGGGGCTTGCCTCTCTCTCGAAGGAGCTCGGACGGTGATCGGGGCACTCAGGAAGTTCCTCAACGTCCTCCTCGTCAAACACGGCACTTCTGCGCGGCTGCACCTCGAAGAGCTGCTCCTCGGGCTCCTCGGGAATGACGATTTGGGTTCTCGGTTTGCGATCTGTATGATGCAATGCGTGTAAGTGCCTATGCAATCGGTGCATCGAATGAGATGAATGCAATGGATATGTTGAAAAGCAAGGTAGTCAACATCATCCAAGAAACTATGCTACAAGCACATGTCATCTACTGCATTCTCTTCTACTACTAATATGTTAAGTTAACATATCTTATGAAATGCTTCAAAGATACACCAAAGCTTTACTAATTTCTTAATCATACTTAAAGCAACACTTGCTTAAACCCTAATTAATAATAGGTTTGAATAGCAACATATATTTCTGATGCTCCTAAAAAATCTGAGAAAATTACAGTAGCATAATACTACCCTAAACAGACTACCATAAAAATTTCATGGCATTTGGATAAGTAAACTATCCTACACAAAAATGACAAGCTATAGCCTAAAAATGAGCATGAAATTACTTTGTACTATGAAAAGTGTCAATCAACAGAATTAATATTTTTCCTAGGTTCTTCATGGTATATAATGACTGTACAAAAATTGTCACATGCATGTTTTATACAAAATTTGTGCTCTAGCAAAAATAACAAAAATCAGCCATTAAAGGTACTTGAACTACACCTCAAATTTTTCCCACAGCACATGCATGAAACATATTTTTCCTAGGAAGTACATGACATAAGAAGATTAACAAACTTGGAATCATATTTTTCTGAAGCCTATATAATTTTCTACATATTTTTCAAGTTATCAGCAATATTCAAGATTAAATAAAATCCTATAGAAAAGTATCTCAAAAATGACATGCACAATTTTTCCCAAGTAGATCTGATGATAAGGAACCTAGCAAAATTTGTTTCAACAAATTTGGAGCAAATTTGAGTACCCAAACATTTTTCAAACCATTTCAAATTTCAAATAATAAAGAATAAATGGAAAACAATTCTTTAAAACTCTACTGGGCCGGCCCGCTGGAAACGAACTGGCCCACTACTGTGCGCACACCCATGGCCCGAGCAGGCGCAGCCCACTAGCTCTCCTTGGCTCGGCGACCGACATGCGGGACCCCATGTCATTGACACGGAATGGGGGAGGCGGCACACATCGGCAGCTGGCGATGGCCGAGCTTCGCCGATGGTGATCTCCCGACGAAAACCGACGGCACCGGCGTGCACAACAGGTGGTCCCGCACCGATGGAAGTAGAAAATGGACCCCCCCTTAGATCTGACAAAGGAGGTCGCGGCGACAATGGCGATCACAAGTGGCCACATGAGTACGCCGGCCAACTCCGGCTAGGAAGGGCGCGAAAAGTGGGCGGAGCTTCACCGAGCTCGTCTTGGTGGTCGTCTTGCGAAAAAAAGACAGTGGGAAGAAAGACGGAGGGCGAGGTCCACGGGGCGGGCGCTCGGTGAGCTCGGCCACAACTCCGCGAGAGATTCCGAGGAGAGGAGCTTCAGCTGCTTACGAGGCGAGCACGAGGTGCGCGAAGATGAGTCGGAGATCTTGAGGCGAGATGGAGGGCTCAATGGCAAGCTAGGACGGCCGGGCGAGCTTGCTCGGCGTGGCAGTGGTCTTGTGATGGCTATAATGGTATGTGAGTGAGAAATGAGAGAGCGAGAGAGAAATGCGGAGCGCTGGAATGTGGGCGTGTGTGGGTGCTCAAGACTCGGCCAGCCAGCGTCGAGGGAAGCCGTGGTGGCGTGGGTCATGTGATCGAGCTTCTCGCTGACAGGTGGCATACGCTGGCGATCGGCTTCTTCGGCGGCGTCGAAGGCTTGCATGTGAGTCTTGAAGGGGCAATGAGCGTGGCGCTGGGCTGGCGGTGGGCGTAATTTCTTGGGCCAAAGCAAAGTGTGAGCGAGAAAAGGGCATCTTGGAAATTTGGCAACTTAATTTGGGGCAGACGAAGCGGTATATAAGGCCCACGAGGGTAAAACCAGATTTTTTTAAATTAATTTGAATCCTTTTTCATTCAAACGAATTTTTGGACTAAATTAAAGCAGTTTCAAACTTTGGACCAAAAATGAAAGTTGCTCAAAATTTTATCCTCTACAACTTTGATTACATGACCAAAGTCCAATTTCTTATAGATTTTGAATTACAAAATCAAAGTCAAATTTTAACTCAAAACCCTAATTTTTGGGAATTATTTTTAAAGCAAAATTTGGCAATAATTCAAATACAAACCTTGCTCCAAAAATTGTGCTAAACAATTCTAGATGATTTACAATAGCAGCCAAACATGTTTTGCTGACCTAGCAAGAAAAATTTAGGGTAAAACAATCCTTAAACAGGTGTATGCAACATCTAGGTTTCACGCATGTTTCAGATGTTTCAAAGCAATGTTTCAATTATTATTCACACGATTAAGCATGTATGATTTGGGATGCTTGATGATGCATGATATGCGTGATTTGCAGTGCCTAAATGTAGGCATAACACCGGGGTGTTACATCCGCCATGGCCGCAAAACCAAGAACGTGCGTGGCCGGATTTTTCCATTCCTCTCTTGGCCATCATCTCAGTATCCCTGACGTAGGAGGCGGCTCCACCGGCGGAGGCAGCGCATGGCCACGCCACCCGCGCGCATGGCTGCGCCCTGCCCCGTCGTCCTGCGCGTAGCCACGCCGTACCCCTCCGGCCACGCCGCCCGCGCGCACGGCGTTCAGCGAGGCGCGGTGGGCCTCGAGGCGACGCGCAACCGGCCTTTAGGCGCAGCGCGGCCGTCCTCCAGGACGCGGCGTGGCCGGACCTCAGGCGCGGCTCGCGGCCAGCTCGAGGGCGGCGTGCGACCGTCGTCCCGCAGGGCGCGGCGCGGTTCTCGGCCGGCCCCGAGAACGGTGAGCACGCGCTCGTGGTGGCACCGGAGCACCCGACGTGAGATGCAAGCAAGGTGGGCGTCCAAGAACAGGGCTTGTGCTAGCTACTGGCGCGCGGGCAGGGGTGCGCTCAGACGGCAAGCGCCTTGGGTTCGGCGGTGCGAGCGAGGGCGAGGAGACGGACATGGAGACCGACCCATCCTCGGCGCCATCCCCGTCCCCGTCGTCGTCCCATGCTCCTTTCGCGTCGGCTGAAGCAGCAGGCGCCAGGCCTCTGCTCGCGCTGCTCGTCTTGAGGAGGAAGAAGGTGTTGGAGTTGCTGACAGCTTGGCCCCACCCGGCGGAGAGAGAAAGAGTTAGGATGAGGCTACGAGAGAAGAGCATTTTAGACGTTTTCTTTAGTTGGGCCCACGTGTCAGGACTGGCAAACGGCAAAAACCAAATGGAAGGTGGATGGGATGGCTTGGGAGAAAAAAAAAGGCCCCGTTCGGTTTGCTGAAACTTGGCTGAAATTGGCTGAAAACACTGTTCTGGCTGAAATGTTGTGAGAGAAAAATATTGTTCCGGCTGAAAAAAGAAGCCGAATAAGTCGGATTTAAGGTAAGCCGAACGGGAGGTAAATGCTAGTCTAGTCCGAATGCTACTATATGGATCGATCGGTCGACGGATAGATGGTAGATCCCATACGATTCTGCCGTGCGTCCACGTCGAGATAGAGGCGCAATGGTTAGTTGACCCAGTTTTGACGTGGCTGGAGTTGTCCCCAAGTTTCGTGTGACCGCGACCGGGAGGATGTGCAGGAGGCCAGGAGCTGAGCTCAGACGCGAATTCTTGGCATCAACAGGACTTGGTGGTGGAGAAGAGGAGAGCGAATGAAGCATCGAACCCTCTTCGTCTTGCCTTGTCCGTTGATGTCACAGTTCAGAGAGGTTCCATGTGGCGAGGAAAGAACTGGGAAAGATCAACGAGCGTTGTTGGTGTGTGTGGCTGCGGAGGCCGAGTCCGTCCTACTCGACCGAATAGCCGATGTCAGAGCTTGCGTTGACGTGTCCAACCAAGATGAACCGCCGTAGCACGCACTCGTCGCACCATTTCGCAACGCCCCACAACCGTTTGGTCTGCCCTATTGGCTCTTGCGACTTGGTCCATTAGGGCCGAACGAAGCTTCTCTTGGATTAGCAGCTTCTCGGACACTACTGTGTACTGTGGCTCACCAGCAGAGAGTAGTTTATAGGAGTACCACTGCTGCTTCATTCACTAGTGTACATAAAGATAATAACATCATGCATGCCCTTTTCAGTAAAAAAGGGTAACAATATTATGCCACAAAATCACACATCTACTAGTAGATAGGATTAAAGGTGCCGTCGATCACTGCGCCAGTCAAAACCACCACGACACTGGCTAATGCAAATCTCCATGCTCAGTCTAAACAAGTACTACTAACTAGTAAAATATCTTTAATTGTTGCAGTGAGACGTGAGACTGAGCCGATGAGGCGATAGATGACCCAACTGCTGAGCGTGAGCGATCGAGATAGGGCCTGTTTAGTTCCCCCAATTTCCGGAATTTGACACTATGCAAAAAGAAGATTCCCCGTCACATCAAACTTGTGGTACATGCATGGAGTACTAAATATTGACGAAATCAAAAACTAATTGCACAGTTTGGTTGTACTTTACGAGACGAACGTTTTGAGCCTAATTAGTCAACGTTTGGACAATTATTACCAAATACAAACGAACCGCTACAGTAGCTACTGTGGCTACAGTAACTCTGACGGCGCCGATTCCGCGCCGAACTAAACGAGGGCATAGGCTAGGTGCCCCTGGAGCCTGGAGATGCCATCACTGTCATTGGCATCGTACCATGCCTGACACGATTCTCAGTTACCGCAGGCCACGGCCAAGTTTGTTTATATATACACACATCAAACTCCCGTGGCGACCCCGGCCCTACGCGCCATTTCGTGCCATCCTGACACGACCTGAAAGCAAAGGAAAGCTCCACGCCTCCACCGATGTACTCCTTCGAGCAAGACCACACGGCGGCAGAGCGTACCACCACCACGTTCGACACGAGCTACCAGCCCTGCGCCGGTGCCGGTGCCGCTGGCCGCTCGCTCCAGTCCGCCCATCATCCCGGCGGCCAGCAAGTCCTCCGGACCGCCGCCGGGTCCGGGTCCGGGTCCGGGTCCGGGTCCGCGCCCGCCGCCGTGCAGCCACGGCGCGCCAAGAGTAGTAGCAAGAAGCACGCGGCGGCGTCGCGGCACTCGTCGTCGTCGCGTCGGTCCTCGACCACCGTGGTCGCGACCGACGTGAACAACTTCCGGGCCATGGTGCAGGAGCTCACCGGCTTCCCGCCCGCCGCCATCTTCCGGCCGCTGCCGCGCAGGGTGCACGCGGCCAGCCCCTTCGTCGCCGTCTCCGCCGCCTCGGGGCAAGGATGTGGCGGCCGGGAACAGCACGGGCATGCAAGTTGGGAGGCGACAAACAGTAGTACTACTGCCGGCGGCGGCGGCAGCAGCAGTCCCGACGACGCTCCGGCCGTGCCGCCTGTGGCGCTGGCTGCGCAGCAGCCGCAGTTCGCGCCGCTGGGCGTCTTCGACGGCCTGTCCGACCTCGGCTCGCCGGAGTTCGACTCGTGGGGTGATTTGTCCATCGATTAAGTACTCGGTGGCGGGCTAGATTTGAAGGAACGATTATTCAAGGATGGTAATCGGTGGGGTACTTGCTAATTTCCTTGTGTTCAAGCGTACGTGTTATGTTTTTTACTATGTGCATGTGTAGCAGTTAGCCACCCAGTGGCTGTAGTGTTTGTTGTTTTCACAAGATATGCATTAATCATGCTCATGTGATGCAAATCACCTCTCGATTGACCTATTTGGTTTTTTATTAATTACAGAAGAGTGCTTACTGTCACAGAGGGCGGCTAGGTAACAACTATTAAATGTTACTGCTGCTTGAAATAACGGACGTGTCAATGCTTTTTGAGATTTTTTCCATGTTTTTTGCTTGTTATTAAGAGATGCAGAGTAGCATAAAAAGGAAAAAAGGACAAATCAGACAGACAGCCAATGATGCGTGGACGACTGGACATTCATATGACGGCTGACAATTAATTTCATAGTGTACATACAAACTGACGAAGCTATCCTGATGTGTTGCTCTTTTGTTTTTTTCTTTTGTTTTTCTTTTGAATATTCAGATGTGTTGCTTGAAGTCATCCATCCATAGAGGAGCTGGTACAAGAGCCTGAATTGACAATTTGCGCAACAACTGGCTGGCACTGAGGTTGCCACCTTCCTGTGATCTCTTGATGTGAACCTCTACGTGTCACGCACGCAGCATGCGTCTTCTGTACCAAGTCTTGGTCATGACACTTGACAAGCTCGGTTGAACACTTGAACTTGTCAAGCACGTCTGAATATTGCACTCGTCACCGGATTGCGTCATGAGTTGAATACAGCACTGCATGACTGCATGAACATCTGGCTGCTCTACTCACGACTGTTTTAAATAACCAGAAAAGGCAAGGAAAAACTCAAAAAAAGAAAATGCTATCATAAGGTCAGAATTTAGAACAATCAGCATCCAGCCTGAATCTTCTCATCAGTCATCAGGAAAGGATAGCCATAATAAACACAGCTTGTGTTAATGGCAGTCAAACGATAACAAGCTTATCGAGAAGTTTTTTTATTTATTTAACGGGCGCTGCTAATGCAGGCTAAGTTACACACTTATTATTATTCAAAAACACAACCACGTGTATACCACATCGATGCAGTTTTTTTGTTCCCATCAAACGAGGAGGAGCAAATGAGATGGAGTTGAGGCACCCCTCCTCACTCCGCCCCTAGGAGGGCAAGCAGAATATCCTCATAATCTCTAGTTGTATCTTTGGCAACAGCACGCTCCAGCGGCACACTGTTCCTCTTCTGGTAAGCCTCCTTTATCAGCTTCAGGTCGACCTCGGCGCGAGTAGTTATGACCCTGGTGAGAGCATCCTCATCTGTGCCCACGCCTCCAAGAGCCAGTCGAATGAGTTTCTCGAAGTATCTGTCAGGGCAGGTGAAGCACCGGATGATCGCCCGCAGTGTTGCAAGGAACTCATCCTTGGGGTCAGCTTTCAGATCCTGTTAGAAGTGAGCAGCAAAAAACATTATCAGCAACCGAAAAGTCTCTAAAAGAAACTATAAATAATTCCTCGTCTAGCAGTCTACAAGCATTTGAATATTGCAGAAAACATGCATGGCAAACAATAACAGAGACAATGTTGATGAGTAAACCAGAATTCATTTTCACCTGGTTGACTGATTGACTGATCATTTTAATGCCATATATGTAGCCCAAAGGAGGGTAGTAAAGAAATCAACCCCGAAAAGAGGAGCATAGGTAAAATATACAGACGTTTTTGAAGGAGGTGGGTTCATAAGAATAATGCGAGTCACAGTGGTTACCAACAAGAGCTTGCTTATCGCTATTTACCTTGTTGATTGCATGACCGAACTGATCCTTGTAGCTATTGAATGTTGCAAGTAGCTGAGCTTTGCTCCGTGTGGTGAGAATCCTGATGATCTCCTCGTCACTGTAAGCCTTCTTATCGATCTTCTCATGAAGAATTTTGGCTTCAGAATGGGCCAAAGATGTGTTCACCTCTGGGCCATCATAGCGATATGCACTTACAAGAGGCACTAACAGCTGAAACGAAGAAATGATCATTCAGAATTTACTTTACCAACTTTCAGTTCTACTCTACTAATAAAAAGGTGTTATTCAGCAGCCTCTATCAATCCAAAAAAAACAAAAACAGCATCCAACTTAATGAAGAGTAGCATGCCGACAGCCACCAGATGGCCTAATTTTAGTGAAAGAAAGAGAGAGGAAATCAGTATCTTATCTTGACAGATAGCGCCACAAAATTTCTCAGATGGATCATCTATTACAGCGGCTATGCTAACCAAATCAGCCGTATCAAGGTTGAGAAGACTAGTTATTTGTATCAGCAGTACCATCAGATCTGTAACATCTTATCTTTATGCTGCACAGTAAACACTAGCGTACGGAACCAAAAAACATAAAGAGTTTCAACAAAAACTAAAATAGTATCACAGTCTAATATTGTTGGACAGAGGTACCACTGTAGAATATCTACAAGCATGTCATGATGCAGTTACAAAATTTGGGTTCTGCATCAGTAGACATATCAAATGCAATAAAAAGCACATCCAGCTTAATTCAAGATTAACATGTTGCCAATCATTGTCTAGTCCGTTGAACCTAATTAAATTTGCAATCATGTGTCAGTAAGCTCGCACAATGGAGGAAATCAGTATCTGATTTCGGCCGCACATAGCACTATAGCAGAACCTTGCCCTTGATACCGAAAAATGAACCGTATGGCTAGTAATGGACCTGTCTAGTCCAAGACGGGTTACCACCAGCACTCTAGCAGGACTATCAGATCCGTGACATCTCAGTGTGAGAAATGACTTTCACCTAGAGAATCAGAATGCACAGTAATCCCAGAGACAAGAGCATGAAGACTCAGTTAGGTGATAACTGATACAAGACATAGTAGCAAGCAACGAACTGATTGGACTGCAGGTCGGAAAAAAACAGATCAAGATCACCTATCGACAAAAGCGATCAATCTATATATGCAAGCAAACGTCAGATCGCCATAAAATCCGAGGCCTTCACCTTGCGGAAGTCGCCGGTGACGTGCGCGGCAACGTCCTCCTCGAGCGAGCGCTTGAAGCGGTCGTGGTACGCCTGCTTGGCCGCGAAGAGCTGCGCGGGCGTGCGCGCGCACGCGATCTCCACCAGCGCGCGGCCGCCGGGGTGCCACTTCTTCGCCTCCTCGTTCGCCAGCACCGCGTCCCTCTCCGCGGGTCCAGCGTCCACAGGATCACCGCCCTCTGGGTCATTCAGGGACGAACAATTCAACCGATGAGTCAATCAAATCGCGCGCGTGCTTTCGATCCCTCGATCTGCTGCTACCTACCTCGAACTTGCCGTGGATCTCGTCGCCGAGGGCGCGGAGCAGCTCCTTCCCGTACACATCGGCGTAGGCGCGGCGGATCGCGCGGCGCTGCGCGGCGTTGCGGTGGGCCAGGATGGAGATGATCAGCTCCTCGTTGGTGCCCCAACCTGCGATCGATCGGAAACGAGAAGCGCGTCAGTCGTCGGCGCGTGCAGCGAGAGCGCGCGCCGGTGCGAGTGAGGAATGCGGTCGGGGGTCGGGTGGGACCTTCGAAGGCCTTGTGCAGCTGCTCGCAGTCCTCGGCGACGGCTGGGACGGAGGAGGGACGGTGAGCGTCGCCATTGCGTCGGTTCGGGTCGCGTTTCGATCGCTGTGCTGCGTCGGTGGGATCTGGGAATGGGATGGGGGACCGGGGAGGGTATGTAGCAGGCAGCAGCGGAGGCCGCGGTGCGCGCGGGGAACAGACGCCGGGAGGCGGGGTTCTGTCTGGGGTGTGGAGGGTTTGCGGAGAACGCCTCGCCTTGACGATCGGGGTGGCGGGCCAGCCGGCCGGCCAGCCAGCGAGGGACATGTCTTCGATGCCGAAGTGGGCAAGTGGTGAAGTGGTTGGCATTTGGGACCCGCCTCGCGTACGTGTCCATGGCTCTCCATTATTATTTGGGGCCACGACCGCCGGCCCGGCCACGACGTCTGGGTACAGACGCGCAGTGATGTTGATGGTGTGGAATTCAGTACTCAGCACTCAGCATGAGGAGAAGCCCATAATAGACATCGTGGATTAGGGCCATGTTTAGTTGCCCCAAACTCCAGAATTTGTCACTACGTAAAAAGAACATTTCCCGTCACATCAAATTTGCGGTATATGCATGGAGTACTAAATGTTGATGAAATCAAAAACTAATTGCACAGTTTGGTTGTACTTTGCGAGACGAACGTTTTGAGCCTAATTAGTCAACGATTGGACAATTATTACCAAATAAAAACAAAATGCTACAGTGTAACTACAGTATCCATTTTTCAGACCCGAATCAGGCAGCGAACTAAACGCGGCCTAGGTGTTGCTAAAAAGGCAGCACCATGTGTGCCAGTAGTGAGCCTGCGTAGAATACTACTAGAACGTTCCGTGATAGGCGCGGTCACCGGTCAGGATGTGCACCTAGTTAAGCGCGTTGATACTGTTGTTAAAAAAACGGAAATGCTACGGCGAATGCTCTGGACGCTCTCGTTCGCAGGCTGCACACCAGTCCAACGACCCAACAGTGATAGTCTCTTATCCACGAGTCTCTAACCTTAGCCTGATATCTCCATTCTCAAAAAAAAAAAAATCGTCGCATCTCGAGCGGACGCGCTCCGTCGCGCTGCCCCGGCGGTCAGGAGCCCAATGGCTAGCATCTCCACTGTGCCCGAGCGTGGCCGCCCGCCTTGATCTCTCTCCATCACGCCTCCTGGTTGCCCGCCTTCCTCCTCTCCACCGTGCCTCCGGCCCGCACCAGCCTTCTTTAGCTCGCTGGCCGCCTTCTCCACTGGAATAGCGATAGCTCGCGCCGGATCCACCACGGCCTTTTTTAGACGTTGCAAGCCTATGTTTCAAGTATCATGTTGCAATGGTGTTTCAACTATATGTCCCAAATATTTAATCTGTTTTAGACGTATGTTGCAAAGGTTTTATCTGAATGTTACGAAGATTGATCTAGCGTTTAAACGTTGTAGTGGAACCCACTTGTCACAACCACATGCATGCAGCTGCGCGGGCGTGCATACGCGGGTAATGGAGCGACGTGGGCTCCACGTGAAGCAGGCGCAGACGTGCGGGCAGCACAGCTGGCGTGAGCGTCCGGATGCTAAGGCGCGGATATGACGTCGGTCGTTGATACTTTGTTGTTTGAACGAAGTCTGAAAATGCAGGGGACACGAGTACTGATAAGAAGAACACACAAGCAACGCTGCGCACCTTCTGTGGCCCGGCAGCTTGCACCAGCTTTCAGATAAGGTTATTATTACACGTGGAGGACGATATGGTCTCCGTCTTCATAGCAGGGGCAAAGCTGCATGTAGTCATCGGGGTCGGCGACCCCGACGGTTTTGCCGCCGCGCTTGCACCGAGCGATTCTTGGCCGGTATTGACCCTGATAAATTTTTTTTGTTGGACCCGTGGTAGGCTGGCGGCCCAGTAGCAACAGCCTACCTCGACATCTCCCTAACCCATGAGTGATCATGGCTAGCAATAGTGTAAGTAGGCAGGCAGCCAGCTTGAATGCCAAACGTTGTCACGCCCCCTTTTCATCTTCGTTATTCTCGGCTGCTTGCATCCCAAATCCTTTCTGCTTCTCCCATCAGCGCATCGCTAATCCTCCTTGCCGTCGGGTGGTGAAGTGATGATCTGAGTTGGGTGGCCGGCCGGAATTAAATCCCATTGATGAGCGAGCCGTCGACTTGCGACGGTGGGCAGCTCCGGCGATAGCAATAAGGTTGCTCTCCGCTCATCTCCTCTCCTGAGTGTGTCTCCGTCCAGTCTTAGGTTTTTTGTTTTTTTCCAGCTATACAGTCTAAACTCAAAAGGCAAGTTGTACATTCACAAGATGGAGGATTGTAACCACGTAGGGAAACTATAGGAGGTAACTGCACACTATGCAATTGTTATTTTATCTTTGCGATGTTATGTACGATATATATTATCGTCAAGGTTCAAAATTTTGGTGAAAATTTGCGAATTTCGGTGGTGTTCGAAAGAAAATCTGAATTTTTGTAATACACTGATACATGTGCTATATAACTCTAGACTCATATTTTCTATTGTTTATATTGCATATTCTTCTACTCAATAGATGTGTAGTCATAAATCATGCTAATATATGTTTAGATGATTAGATCTAAATATTCTTAGAAAAACATACTTCATGTGCTAGTCTCTAGAAAAATTTTGGCCGAATTTCATAAAATTCGATAATTTCGAGGGTGGCAGAAATTTTTGTAATACCGAAATTGAAAACCGATGGGGCTGTCTACCTTGTGCCCGGTTGATTGAGACAACACCATCAACCGGTTGATTTGCCCCACTCAAACAACCGGTTGAGCCAATTCATTCAATCAACCGAAATTTAAAAGAGGCCAAATTCACTTCACTTGGCCTATTATATTAGGCCAAATCAAATATAATAACAAGGAAGCAAAGCCAGTTCAGATTAAAGCAACTGATACCGATAGAAACCAATATCAAATGAGGAAAAAAAATACAAAAATTGAATTCCATATTCTTTCACAACCAAATCATTAGACAAATTGAATAAAACAATACAGCATTCAATCAGAGAGAAACTTACACCAAAGCAGTACAAAACTTACACCAACCAGTTATACAAATTATAGTTGAAAATACAGTATAAATTATGGACATTTCAAGTGTAAAATAAATTACAGAGCAATGTAAAGAAGCTAAATAGATTAGCAAGTATAGCTATGGCCAGCAAGAACAAGCTCCAGGAAACTCAAGAAACCAACTCAAAAAAAGGACTTTGAGATAATTCAAATAATCAAATGGACAAATGTACAGGCAAAAATATCCAAATTTTTTTTCTATGGTAGCCATATTGCAAATAAAAAGGTGGCTAATAATTCAAAAAATGAAAAATAAACAAATTAACAAAATTAGAAATTCTTAATGAGAACAAACCTTGCAAAAACAACATCACTCTAATCCAACTTACATCAACCTGCCATTAAATTTACAGTGAATATTAGAAGTAAATATAAAAGGAAGAGGGTGTAAGTACATGATCTATAATCCAACAAACTCAATTCATTAAAACATTAAACTACAAAACAAGAAGTAAATAAATGCAGAATCTTTGGAGGTCATTGATAATATGGAATCAGGAAGTTCAGAAAGCGAAACCCACTGCCACAACACCCTGATTGTACCAAATAAGCTAAATCTGACAGAAACAAACTCAGATTGATTTGGTCATCGATCAAACAACTGCTTAGAGAAAGCCTCTTTATTTAGAAAATGGGCTACAAACTTGAAGTAGATTGGTCATAAGACATTTATCCAGTACAAGGCCCAAAACTACAACAGGTTTATTTTTCATAACTTGATCAAGCTACAGGCCCAAATAAGACCCAACAAAACAAGGCCCAATAGGGTCATAAGAAATTTATCCAGTACTTAGACAGACCCAAAATTACAAATTGGTCTGTACAACGAAAACATAACAACCACATGGGGCAAATTGAAATAATATGCCTTGCAATCCAAGAAGCTCAGAAACGAATCTACACAGAGAGAAAAGACACGTACACTTGCCTGGGTTTCGTCTCCAGGGCAGCCACCATCGAACTGGGGAAAAATAACTGCATCCAACTCAGATCTGACTACAAGCTTCATCCACAAGGAGGAGAATGCAACCACCTGATGAAAACTAGGAGTTTCACCTGCATCTACTTGCAGAAAAAACACAGGTAAGATCCTGAATTTAGAGAGAAAAAGTTGAAGTCATGAATCTACATGTAGATTGGATACAAATAACAACAGATCATCATGAAACACAAATCTCCATAGTAAAAACTAGTAGAGTGCCATAACGTTACCAAATCCTTTTCTTACACTTACTGACACCTAATTGAAACATGTGTTTTACAGAATCATAGCAGGGCTCCAGAGATGCAGATTCAAACAGATAAATCAACACAAGACAAGCATATCCACAATCAGATCGGTACACAGTTTCCATATTTACCATCAAATCCATTTGCTCAGTCCAGTTCAAGTACTACAATGAACCAATGGATAGGAAACATGGGACTAATGTACAACATACAGGTATGTCTTTTAAACATAGAAAAGATAAAATCTAACAATGCATTAACTGATGCATTATAGCTGTTGTGCAGACACAACCTTGGACAACACAAACATTGACAAATCCAGGAACTGCTCATGTGATCTCTGGAACAAGTTCAAACAATCCTTCAGCAGAACTATGGGGGCAGAATATAGACCATTGCCAAATACAAACTGCCAGCAAGGTAATACCACAAGAAACCCTTCTCCAAAAAAAATAAACATTCATGATGGATCAAAGAAAAAAACTTTAAAATTTACTTCAATGCTTGCAGGAGAGCTTAACATGACAACTAATGGAGCAAATAAGGAACTCCCAAGAAGAAATATATTCGGTAAGAAAATATTTACACTTCAAAAATACAAAAATTACACCTATACTACATGTGTAACTTCTGAACAGTGCTAATGTAATAATTACACTATGGGTTTCAGTTAACTCAGGACATGCAGGGATCTTATACAAATATGCTCTTAGGTTAACAGATTTTTCAGGTTAGAACAGCAAAAAATTGATTACATATATTTGAAATATTACACTGCATTAATCAAATTTAATTAACTAATTCTACTTAATGGAAATAAATACAGCAAAATGTGGAAGCCAATCAACCAGTGTCAGACTATTGCACAGGGAGTGAGTATGACAGATCAAGTACATTACAAGAAAAAGAGGTAACCAAAAGAACAATAGTGAAATGAGCACAAATTAAAATAGATTCTTGCCTGATTCACTTATGAACCAAATTTGCAGATTTCACTGGGGGATATCAACAGCCATCCTGAATGGAACAATGACAACAGTTACTCAATTTCAGATTGTCAGGTAATATATTTATACATCAACCACCTCTAAAATATATAAATTTACCAAAAAAAACATTAAGCTAGATTCAAATAGTAATATTGATTACTAATTGTATTTTTAGGATAATCACATATCAAACTGGAATGAAGATTACTTAACAGAGAATGAAGATCGACAATGGGGCGATGCAATCTTCAAAAACATGCAACTCCAACAAATACAAGAACCTACAATGGTCGAGGAAGAGGATCAGTCAAATACAACATCAGAAGTCACAAGGACAAATGCAGAGTCATCAGATACTCACCAGGTTCCATCAGAAAAGCAAGATAGCACAGAGACTGATGCAGACAAGGAACTGACTGAACAAGAGATAGAAGCATTTATCATAAGTGAACAAATAGCAGCATCAAAAGGCAATAATGCAGATTTGAACAGCATCTACACACCTCAGTTAGGAATGGAATTTGAGAGCAAAGATGCTGCTGAGCATTTCTTCAACTTCTATGCATCTCTCGCATGATTCAAAACCGTAGTTGTACATGTCGCTAGGACTTCAAGCCTGAAAAGAGACAATGAGATGATCAGAACTACAGTAAAGTGTAACAGGTATGGAAAACCACCGGTCAAAAAGAATACAGAACAAAAGGAGGCACAAGTGGATGAATAGATTGGAAAAAAGAAAAAGAAACCAAGGAGGACTAATGTCTTAGACAAAACAGATTGCCAATGTGTCATGGTTGCTAGTGAAGATAAGGGTGTTTGGAGAATCATCAGACTGGATTTAGATCACAACCATGATCTATGTCCAGGACAACCCTTAAGTGGACACAAATATTTGACAGAATTAGAGAAGGAACTTATAAGGACTTTGAACGACAATAACATACCTACAAGGCAAATGGTATCTATATTATCACATATGAGAGGCGGGCCAACAACATTACCAGTAAAGAAGAAGGATATCAGCAATTACAGAACAAAAATCAACAAACAAGTCAGAGGCACAGATATGACAAAGGTATTAGAATACTTCAGAACCAAAAAGGCAGAAGATCCTACATTCTTCTACAGATTCCAATTAGATGATGACAAAAGAGTTTGCAATATATTTTGGAGAGATGGATCATCACTGAGGTATTATGCAGATTACGGAGATTGTGTCAGTTTCGATGCAACATATATGACAAACAAGTGCAGATTGCCATTTGCTCCTTTTGTTGGTATCACAGGCCATGCACAAACATGTATATTTGCATGTGCTTTCGTACAGGATGAGACAAAGGAGACATTCAAATGGGTCTTTGAAACATTCCTAGAATCAATGGGAGGAAAAAGACCTAAAACTATAATAACAGATCAAGATAAGGCTATGAAGGGGGCAATTGCAGAAGTGATGCCAAACACAATACACAGAAATTGCCTATTTCATATCAAGAACAAATGCTACAACAAGAATCTAAAGGTTTTTGCAGCTAAGGGGAATGAAGGACTCTATGAGGAATTTGAAGACATAGTCAACAACTGTCTCACAGAGCAGGAATTTGAGCACTTGTGGGAGGAGATGATCAAAGATAAAAAAACTAGAGAAGAACAAGTATTTCACAAGAATGTGGGAAATGAGGAAAAGATTCATATAGTCTACTATAAAAATGATGTCTTCCCCTTTATCCAAACCACATCAAGAAGTGAATCTACAAATTCAAGATTTAAGGATAATGTGGGCCCAACCTATAGCATCATGAGCTTCGTGACAGAGTACCAACGTATAATAGACACCATAGAAAGAGCAGAGAACCTAGAGGATCACTATAGCTGCCAAAAGAGACCAAAGGAACTACTTTTTGGCTACACAATTGAGAGGCAAGCACATGAGCTATACAATAGAAACATATACAGCAAATTCTAGGTTCAGATGCAAGCTACTTCAACACTAACATACAAAGAAATCGAAGAAGGCAAGGCATTTGAGGTATGGCAAAGAAGCAACCAGGTACATAAAGTTCATAGGATAAGAAGATACATAGTGCTCACTGACCTGACAGAGGGAAAGGAAGAATTCAGTTGCATATGCGCCAAATTCAGCAAAGACGGCCTGCTTTGCTCTCATGTCCTGAAAATCATGATAGAGAAGGAAATTAGCAAAATACCAGATAAGTACATAATAGACAGATGGAGGAAAAAAGATATGAGATTGATCAAGCAAAGAGTTGAAGATACAACAATGAAAACTAGTTCATTGCTTAGATTCAATGTGCTATCAAGGATGTCGACGACTATGAATTCAAAAGCAGCAAAAAATGCAGAAGCTACAGTTTACCTTATGGCAGAGATGGAAAGGATTGACAAGCACCTGGACAACTTACTTGCACCTCCAATTAATGATGACTCCCAGAATCAAACAACAGCAGAAACACAAGTACAAACAGAAGGAAATACAGAGAATCAAGAGAGTAGTTCAGTTCAGCTACTAGAAGATCCACAAGTAACACAAAAGAAGGGGAGACCAGAAAAGGCAAAGAGGTTCAATACAGTAATAGAACAAGAGAGAGAGAAAGAAAAGAAAAAAGAGACCAACAAGAAGAAGCAAATTACAGCAAATGAAAATTCAGGTCAGTATCATATATAACAATAAGTGATATTCATTAATAAGAAAATAGATTTTGAATACATAGACATATCAAAGTATTAGAACAACTCTAATCTCTACTTCATTTGTGTCACGCAGTTTCACCGGTGAAGCCCAAGTCAAAGAGAATGAAGAAATCTGCAAAGAAGAACAATGATACACAGGCGACCAACTCAGTAGCTTTGATCAACATTTAGATGAAGGCCATATGATCAACATTTAGAGCAACAAAATTTATGTAATACTTTAGCGAACTTATCATATGTAATCAATGTTCTATTTTTATGATGTGCCACATAGCACAAACATATTGTAAGTCACTTAAGTGGTATCCTATTACAGACCAAAAGACAGAGATAAAAGTTCATAGACTGGACCTATAGCTATACAAAATAGTAAACTAACTACAGCTGGGACGAAGATAGAAACACATCGGCTCCATCTACTCATAACCACCATCCTGAAAAAATATATACATAATAAACAACTTAACTAAAAATGAACATAAAAGTGAGAAAAATATGCACAGATATACCTCATCATGATCAAAAGTGATCACTGGATTCTTGTTCCTAGCGTTCCTTGGGTTGAAAAACATTTCATTTGCTAACTTGACTCTTATATTTGGAATGTCGTCACTACTGAATAAAGAACACAGAGAAGAACGAGGCGAAGTCCAATACTCAAGAAACATCATAATGTAAATTCCTGAATCAAAACTGCGTACAAAAAATTTAAACTAATTAAACGAAGAAGCAAAAATAGCCAGGAACATAAACAAAGGTAGTGCAAACACTGTAATTATTTAACCAGAGAAACATACTTATCATATGGAGACTGCTTGGGCACAACAGGATATTTGACACCATAGTCTTTGAACTTCATATCACGCTTCACAAGCTTGTCCCACCAGTATGTAAATTCAGGGATCTAGAACAAAAATAATAATTACATGAACAAAACATTTCATAAACAAGAATAAAAAAATACAACTTAATTAAAAGAACCATACCATCTTTCCTCTAACATATTCATGGTAAGCATGGACCTCAGTATACAAAGAATCAAGAAAAACAAACTTATTATCCTTGATATCAACGACGAATACAAACCAATGATCCTCATAGAAAGTTGGAAAATACAACTGCATACACAAAGAATAATATTATATGTACCTGATAAAAGAAGAAGGAATAAGAAAAGGAGATCATTGTGATAAAAAAAACCAACCACATCAGACTTAAAAAGGGGCCTTGACTTCGCAGAACGCTCAAAAGCTTTCATCATAACATGCCCAAAAACTTCATCATGATCTTTTAGCAGGTTATCCTATATAAAAATACAGAGCAATAAACAAACAACCATGCAGAAATGAAGCTACATAAATAGCAAATTCAATATATCAAGAAACTTACTGAAATATTCGGAAAGAAGTAATGACGCTTAGATATGTCTGGATGACCATCTGGGCGGCAAAACAAATGATAACAAAATGCAGCAACTACATAATTGTTGACTGTACCACCAAGCTTCATAGATTCACCTAAGGACCAGTAGGTGCAACGAACACCTCCAAAGTACAAAGCATCCAAACTACAGACAACATTAACACATGACATGGCCAGGATTATTACAGGGGAAACAAAAGAAGCTCACAAATTTTAGATAATAAAATTCAGACATGCCATGGATACTATGAAAAACAATAATAGATAAGATAAACAAAAGAACAAGGAGGAAAAAAAATTACTTGCTAGAACGAGAACTGGCCAAGGCACAGATAGCTTTGTAATTTGCTAATTCAGACGGAGAAGGTTTGAACTTATCTTCATTGCCAATGAAATCATTAATAAGAACTCTATTTGGACAAACCATTCTTCTAGGGCCATGAAGAGGAACTTTCCCACCAGTTGAAGAATCCCTGACTTTAAAATCAGAACGATTGGCCAAACTTTCAGGATTAACAGATAAATCAGCAGGAAAACCATGAGTCTTGCCAAAAGAGAAACAAGGAGTTTGTGTGCTCATCCTCATATTTTCCAAATTAGAATTATGCATAGCCTCTGATTTCTTGGTCTGGTGCTTAACGGTTTCAAGAAAAGGCCTCGAACCAGTACAAATAACAGGGGAGGTATCCTAAAAAAGGAATACACTTAGTAAAATAAAACTAGTACCAAATATCAGTAGAAGTAAAATACAGAAAATGAAATTATATAATGCAAAAGCTTACATTCTCTTTATCAGAAAAACCATGTCGCTTATTGCCATGTCCATTCTTGCCAAAATTACTAAGGACAGGGAAAACAGAAGACTTTCTAGAGAGATGAGAGGTAATACGAGGAGATCCATCATCAGTCAAAAGAAGAGTTTGCATGAATATATGATCCTACACAAAATCAAAATAAAGCCAAAACTGATAAAAAATACAATGAACTTGCAAAACAGATAGCACCAAAATAATAGCTGACCTCATGTATATTGTTCATCGAACCATTCTGAGAATTTTGAGAGATCTAAAAAAACACGAAATACTATTTAAAAATACCAGAGAGGGAAAACAAAGACAAGCAGCAAAAAAGTCAGGTAAAAACCTTAGCACGACCCAATCTTGATCGATGACGAAAAGGAGAAGGAGAAATAGAATCGGGAACAATGACATTCTCCTTGTCAATAGGAATCACATCTCCCTCCAAGTCAATAACACCATCACATCCAACAGATTGGCAACCAACATTACTAATGTCACTCAAAGGATTACGAACAGAAGCAACACCATCATTCAAATCAGAGACTACATTTGCGAGAGCAGCAACACTTTTAGACTTCAATTGTGGATGAAGAACAACACGGGAACCTAAACAAAATGTTTAATATTATTTATAGGTTCAATCTAAAGAACAATAAACTATGATCACAACAAAAACTCCAACAACTAAAGAAATAAGAACCATTACTCTTTTTCGCAGCAGGCTCATCATCCTTCAAATCAACATCTATGACCTGAGCACCGTGAAGAGCAACATTCTTTTGTGTAGACTTTGAAGTGGAAGCAACAAAACAATTAACAGAATCCTGATAGAAAAAATAAAAAATGTAACTACAGAAATTAATTAAGGGGGGAAATAGAAAGGGCAAGAAATGACCTCAGCAGCAACAACATTAGCTTCTTCTCGCTCAGATAAAACAGGAGATACATTATCTTCATTTCGATCAACATCAGAACCAATTTCATCATTGTCATCAGGAACAGTCTTAGAAATAGCTTGCATAATATCAACGACCAAATCCTTTGATCTAGCATCAATTCTACATATGTGATGCATCATCTTTGCAAACATATCTTGAAATTCCTTTGAAACATTCCCAAGAGAAGTCACATCCATCGACAACGACATACCAGAATTAAAGCAATGCTCATCAATCAACCTTGATATTTCAAGCTTCAAACTCAAAGGAAGCTGACAACCAGAAACACTTTCCATCTTATTACAAAATTCAACATCAAGGTCATCGGCACAGGTTACTGGTCTAAGACAAACACACTACCAAAGGGAAAAAAATATAAATGAGAAGAAAATTCAACCTTACACAAATGAAACAGAAAACTGAAAAAAGACATGAAGGGAAAAACATATCTATCTAACCTTGTAGTAGCAAGTTTTCTCAAACTCAAGCAAGGGTCTATAACCATAGACACCAGGAGATTTCACATCAAGATTAGCATAAAACTGAATCATATCTTCTTTCCAAACTGAAATTCGAGGAATACAGTCTGGAACTTGACGCTGGCGGAAATCAATGTGATCTAAGTAAACAACCTTAGAACAAAAAATCAAAGGCAAATGCATTACAACAAAAGAAAAACAACAGTAAATATGAATCATATTTTACAAGATAACAGAAACACTAACCACAAGGTAATATAAGCAACCACCAAGACCTTGACAACGTTTTGATTTCTTATTCTTCCCTCTAGTGAATGCCTTTATATGCTCCAGCAACCAATCCAACACAAAACCGCACCAATTATATTCCTTGATCTGATCAATATCTTCAAAAACACCAAAATACTTGGGACTTGGAACAGTATTGGTATTCGGACATAAAAAGCTACTCAAAGCAACTATCATGAAGCAAATGAACATATCCTCATCTGGTAAATCATCCTTATTGATTAACTTGTCAGCAAAAAATGAAACAGGAGGTATCCTATCCTTTCCAAACTTTGATAAGACAACATCTCTACCAGCACTTGAATCAGATGGGAAACACCTGCTTCCTTTCGGGAGATCAAGAACCAAATGAACAGATTCTTCAGTAAGAGAAATAACCTTTCCATCACGAATAATGTCACCAGATTTCGAATCAACTAGACGTGCAACCCAGTTAGCAAACTTATTCGGCACGAAACACTTGTTGAACTTCAACAAAGATCCAAAACCATAACTCTCAATGATAGCCTTCTTCTCAGGGGACAGAGCAGATATCACATTCATAAAAGCCGTGGCAGAAAACCTAGTGAAGCCATCCTTAGTCTTCTTTTCAATTTTCTTCTTCTTTGACTGAAATGATTTACAATATTTCAGGGAAAACTTCAAAAGAAAAAATTATTAAAATGTGACTAATCCATCTACATCTTTTATATTTTTGAATGAATGAAAAAACACACTAATTAATAAAATCATGTCACCAGAAAACCAGAACTAAACTACAGAAAACGAAAAGATCACATCAGACATTAACAAAGAGCAACTTAAATACATGCGGAAAAATAAGGACACATAACCTTATGTCTCATAGCCATCTGTAACCTTTTCTTCAAAACCTTAATCTTCTTATACTGAAAGGAAGAAAATTAAAATGAAAAAAATGAGAAAAGAACAAAGGAAAAGAAAGAAAAAAGATTTGAAAAAACAACATACATCTTTTAGGCACTTCTCATAGAGCTGGCGATCAAAACTTGAGGTGTCACTGGAAACATCATTCTACAAATTCAAACTAATATTAAGCAAACAATAGGAAAAAATACCAAAGTAAAAAAAGATAACTAGTTAGTCTAACAACCTAGGTTTCTGATAATGATGCATAGGAATCATAGTCTGTAAAAGGTAACTGAGAACACTGGACATCTTCAGAGCCACCAATGTCTGAATCACCAGAGTCTGACAAATCAATTACACCACCAGGTCTTTTACGAACCATCTAAAAAACAAGAAACAAACAAAGAGAATTTATAAAAAGAAATATGGCAGATACTTCTCCAATGCTAATCAAAATTTGGTCTCACCATGAGGTACTGTTATTACTAACTTACACCACTCTGTCTAAGAATTTACACTAAAATGATTTGTGTAAATATAGTAACAAGATACTGTAATAAAAAATAAAAATACAATACATGTTTACTACACAGGAGAGGAAGCAAGAAATGAGGGATCAAAAAAAAGAAATGGTAAATCTAAGGGCTACGCAAATGCAGAGCCATCAGAATTTAGAAGGGGAACAAAAACAATAATGCAGCAAGGGCCACAACTGAATCTGCATACAACTACTGCTAACTGCATCAGTTAACCTCACATACCTTCCCCTCCCTTACTCACCACCACAAACCACATCATCTCCATTTAATACCACACCATCCTATCCTCTTCCCTTCCTCGCCTCATATATCTGCATCTCTTCATGCAGAGAAGCAATCGCCATATATGACCACAACACATCTTTGAACATGAAGATAAATTGCCTCCTACCTTGTCTTGCTCCTCCACGGAAACTAATAACAGATCAGCTAGCTAGCTACACCATCTCTCATTGCGAGATATCTGAGCGATGGGATCTTCGTTGCTATGTTACAAGGATCTAGCTAGAAAATAGCAACTAGAACATACATACATGGTTGCCTTGCCTCCTCAACCCCTTAAATTTCTTTCTGCGAAGAAAAAAAGACATGCCACAAAAGGCGAAACATGAACCCAAGGCAAAACACCTACGAACCAGCTAGGATTGCTACCGCACAAACAGGCCTAGAACAAAAATCATGAAGATGTAATCCTAGGTCCACTTGCAAAATGTGAGAACAAAAATAAACAGAAATCAGAAGCAAATATCAGTTAACTTGCTGAACTACATCATTTAACTGGACAATGATCCTGATCTACTGCTACAGTAGGCTCCGTTGTCGTCTGAGTGCCTAGGCTACTGAAGAAAGGCACACAAAACAAGCTGAAATGGATGGATTGCCAGACAACTATACAACGGCAGCAGCATCAAACTCAACCACGCAGCAGTACACTTAACAAGCTGCTAGATAGCAAGTACAGAGTACTACATGCTTCCACTCCTGCTTCGACACAAAGTAATAAAGTATTCAAAGGAGAACGAAGCTGGAGCTAGCAACTACTAGGTACGTACGATGACACACAGCAATTAAACAAGACAAAAATCGCCTAAACCACTGTACATGAAACAACAGGAGATGAACCACCAACCCCCATCCCCTACCACCAACAGAGCCACCACAAAAATCGCCAAATCCACTATAACTCGGACGAAATCAAACAATTACACTCTACATGAAACAATAGGGGATGAACCAGCAACCCCCATCCCCAACCACCAACAGAGCCACCACAAAATCCCCAGATCCACTATAACTCGAACGAAATCAAACAATTGCAGGGTGCAGCAGCCCAGGCGGAATCCACAATTCACTCTATCTCGAACCACAACAGATACAAACACGCATCCACCACCACATACCTCGACGAGGAGCGCAGACGAGGAGCAGACCTTGAGAAACACTAGAATCGTCAATCGACGAAAGCACCAGGGACACCATGAGCCTGACGAACAGAGGACCAAAACACACAAACCAAAATACTCCATCAGCATCAGATGAACCCTAACATGGATTTACATGAAGAACACACAAATCAGAAGAGGGACGAACTGGCGAACCTAGAGAACCCTAGAATCGCCGTCGGCGACGACAACGGCTACGCCACAGGGGAGACAAGTAGAAGAAATGAAATGAATGGGGAACACCTGAAACGGACAGGGACACCCCTGCAATAACGGGCGCGATTACAAAAAAATTAAAAGAAAGCGCCGACATATCGGACCCACATGGCAGACAAAGAATACAAAGACAAAGAAATAGAACCAGGCTGTCTCATAACGGACCGCACATGCCAAATCGAACGATCAAAAAAAGCCGGTTGAGACAAACATCCCAATCAACCGGTTGACAAATAGACTTTCTCAAACCGATTATTGTAACCTATGACTTAGGACTTAGTACTGTGAGTATTGACCCCAGCGACCAATTTTCGACGGCAAACAACTTCTGCTTGGAAAGTGGAAACGTTTCGATCGCCAAATATGACTATTCGCACTACCTGCTGTGGGAACCTGGAAGGCTCGAACCCATCGCAGGTCTTAAGAGCAGCTTCAGACAGGGTACTAATAGTTCTCCAACTACTGCCACTAGTGTACAGATGAGCTTCTTCAACAAGTGGCACGCGCACGTGTCTGCGACCTAGGAGCTACTTTGTACCAATTTGGCAAAGAGTTTGGCAGGGATATAAACGGACCTACAACAGTAACTGCTGCCAACTCAAATGCGCCAGCCCGCGGTTCCAGAAAAACTGAGCCCGGCCCAAACCCAAACATCACCGCTCTCGGCCTCTATATAGCGTGCTGTGTCGTTGCGAGCGTGCGTGCACACGGCAGACAGGTGACCGATGCCGTGTGGTCTGTGGTGTGGCGACCCAAAGAGAAAATTCAAACGCTCACGTATGGTGTGTGCCTCTGTGGTGTTGGCTCTAAGGCTCTTTGGAGGCCTCCTGCTTCGGGTCGAACTGCGCCCGTGCAGACAAGGCGGCCCGAAACTCTCCCCGACACGCCAATGGCATCGCACAACATTCCCTTGAGCATGTACGTCACGGTGCCAACGTCATGCATGGCAACCATATGTTTTTTTTTAAAAAAAGGGCCACCGTATATGATTTATTGGTTCGTGTTCATGTTGCGTACGTACGTAGAGTTGGGCACAAAAACCATAAAGACGCTCCCTTTGGATCGACGCAGACGTTGCCGCGTACAACTTCTATGCGTACGCTGAGCTAATATGGGGATCAGTAAATTCAGAAAACTAACAAAAACACAAAGCTGGTTGCCATGGCATGCACATGGCTGTTTCAGTGTTTCTCACGGCCACACGGAGTGGCCGAGGGAAGACGAGCGCGTGCAGTCATTTCTAGTTGCCACCAAGTCCCAATGGCTCAGAAACAAGATTGCACAGACCTAGTGCTTGTGTCCTTGGTCTTTGCCAGTTACATGATCACATCCCTCTAGCAATAGCAAGCTAGTGGCGAGCAGATTTACACGCACATGCTGACATGCGCGTGCGTGCAAAACAAAGCCTCCGATCGACTGAACTCTGCTGTAGCGCACAGCCACCCGATCGAACAGCTCAATCCCCACGTGAAACGTCATGTCATCGCACGTCAAAAGCACGGCGTGGCCGAACCGCGCGCCCGAACGGAGCAGGACGACAAGTCCGCCCTCGAAAGCTCGGTGACGAGGCCGAGGCGGCAGCGAGCGACACCCCAATCATCAAGGCCACCACGCCGCCCCCAGGACCTCACACAAACACAAACACAAACACAATCGCGCGCGCGCGGCGCGAGGTGGTCACTGGAATCGTTGCCGGCCTCGCCTCGCCTGTCGCCACCTTGCTTGCCGTTGCCCTTCTCACGAAAGACGCGGCCGCGTTCGGCGTAGGCGAGTGTGGATGTGTGGATGGCATAGCCCCGCCGTACGTGGAACCACCCTGATCCTGATGTGATCGCGAGGGCGCCGATTCGTCGTGCACGTTACCACGGTCGCGCGCTTCGCTGTCCGCATGCCAGAACCGGGCGCGTGGGGCGCCCACCCCCTTGCCGTTTCTGGCGTCCCGTCGGCGTCGGGGCGCGACAGAGCTGTGCCTAATGGCCATTCTCGGACGACCGGGGTCCGGGCCGGGGGAGAAGACACAAGAGTCCACTCGTACGTCGTCGTCGTCGTCACCGATCGCATGCATCTAGACAAGCGTTCCGGCACTTCGGCACGCGCCTAATTCTCGTCCACCGAATGAATGGCTCGGGCGATCGGCGTTCGGCGCCCCGCGCTGCTCCTATTTAGGCCTCACTGTGCGTGCCGTCGGGCTCGCAAGTACTCTTTCAAGTTCCAAGCTCTGCGTCTCCGAACTTCACGCACGTTCCCCGGCTGTTTCGATTCCGCGCCTGCGACTGCTGCGAGCATCACGAGTTCGAGACGAGGTATGGCTCGCTCCGGTTGTTCTTTGGCTCTCTGGTACTCCATTTTGTTATGTGCTGTGTACTGAGTAGTACAGCTGCATATGTAGTTGCATGTTGCGATGGCCGATCACTGCTTTTTCTTGGTTTTCTGCATCATAGAAAGACATGCGAACTAGTAGTAGAGTAGTAGTACACTAGTACTACATAGAAAGGTGTTCTGTATAAACAAGTTCCTCTGTCAAGCTCTATGTCACCGTTTCTTCTTCTTCTTCTTCTTCTTCTTATTTATATGTCTGTGATGTTAGTTTCGTTTATCTTCGCAGTTTTTTGCAAGCATCGAGATCAACGCGATGGATGACTTTTCTACGATCAGTGACCATAGTATGCTATTTCAAGGCCACGGCATGTTCAGTGCTGAAGGATGCCTTGGTGCCCGAAGTTCTTCAGGCGTTCTTTCGACTGGAGGCAAGACCATCCCAGCACTCCAAGATGAACGCAACAAGGGGGATGATATGTTCTTCTCCGACTGGCCTGAGCTGGTTGGCTTCGACGATCTCGAGGCAAGCCTGAGGTAATCCGCTTGCCATGTTTAGCACGTGCGAACGCCACAGTTTTGTGATGCCTCGACATTTTTTTTCTCCTTTCATTTTCTGAAGATTTTTTTTGAATTTTTTTCTGAAGAAATTTCGAGCCTACGTTTGAGATAGGGAGCAATTATTTCGAGGACATACTATGGTCCTCAAATTGCTCACCAGAAGCTCAGCTAGTACGGAACAGCTACTCTGACGATATTGATTTCTCAATCGTTCGAAACGACAGCAACACTCTGAAGGTACTTAATTAATTCCTGATTACTTTCTCTACCCTTGGTATGATGCAAAGGATTTCCTACCAATTAAGGGTAGCTTCTCTTATCACGTCAAGAGAACAGAACTTTGCCCTCGTCAAGATCACGAGTCCAGATCATATGTTTCCTGAAAAGCTTATACACTCAGTTGAGAAAAAAATGATTTTTTTCTCTCTCTTGATTGACCTATATGCAGGTAAATACGACAAAAACCAAGCAACAGTCCAGCAGAAATGGAGCTAGCAGTAGTGGTACAGCCTCGAGTTATGATGCACATGCCAGCTCCTCTTCCGGTCTTTCGGATGCCGAACTCTTCCTCCCGTTTGATGATACAGCGCTCGCCAGCCAAACGGGTGGCTGGGAGGGGCTAGAGGCTATTCTTTGCTCAAGCCCGGCAATGCGAGTAGTCCCAGTCCCAGCGGCATCAGGCACCATGTGCACCGATGGTTCGTCTACTTGTTGCTCAGGGCCAGACACCGTTACTGCTCATGCTCCTCGTTCTGCGGCCAAGACTAAAGACCCGTTTAACGGGGCTCCAGACATAATCCTCGAGGAGATGGCTGAAAACCCACTGGACCTGTACTCTCCTCCACTGGCAACATATGAGCAGCAGCCTGAGACGATGTTGATGAGCGACACCGCTTCAGCGCCGAAACATCGGTTTCCAGAAGAGTTTGCAGGCAGTTGCGCTCTGAGCTGTGCAGAGTTACAGTTACAGTTCTGTTCGGAGGACATGGGTTCTGCAGGATTACATGGGCAGCCTGTCTCGGCAGTGGTTCTGGATGCCGTGCCAGTAAAGGATCTTTCCTTTCAGAAGCTTCAGTATGGCATGAATCAGGTAGGCGATTTACAGTTACTGCCACAGCATTTCGTAACTAACCGTTCTCGTGATGCTGTTGCTGTCTCCCTTTTCGTCATGTGAAGTTAATACTTCCCTTTTTATATCCTTTTTATGTGCCACACATGCAGCTTGATCTGGCGACCAAAGGACGCATAAGGGATTCCCTGTACCGGTTGGCCAACAGGCTTGAACAAAGGCATCGTCTTGCTAGTGCAAGTGGAGGATTGGGATCATCGGGTTCAAATAGGTACTACTCAAATTGCGATTTTTCTTGAATACTCCGTACCATGCATGTCCTGATATAGATCCATTAATTCGTCGAATCACTGTACTTTGTCCACGATTTCAGGTCTTGAATATGTTTATAATGTTATATGGCAGGTTCGAATCAGGCAGATGGGCCGAGACGCAGACGAACCCCATGGATCAGACAGTAGCACAGCTCCTTCTGCAGAAACCCTCTTCGTCCTGTTCACTTGATCGTTTCTGTGGCTTATAAGGCAGCTGATGTTGTTTTGTTGTGAGAGAAAAACACTGTATTATGGCTGATAAGCATGACTGATACAGTGGAGCGGTGCTTACCGGAAGACTGTCCCGCCGCACCGTGTGACATAGTTTCCTTTCCTCCACTAGAGACCCTAGTCGCCTCTTGCATCAGTGCAAGGATTGTAGTACTTCTACTCTGAAAGCCTGAAGCGTGTAATATATGATGATGATGATGCAGTATGGTCCTGACAATTTTTGAGTGCCCTGTTTGTTATACCGAAGGGAACTCTGTAATATACTTGCGATGTGTATTAGTTGGCTACTGGTCCGTCAATCTTAGGACGGCACAAATCTAGATTTTGATTTTCCAAATTTGACCTTGTTGGTTGATATGGATTTTTTTATCCTTTAAGTTGAAACTCTTATCTTATTGTATCATTATCTAACTCTACTTTTTTGTATTTTATGGAAAATAAACATTTAGGTCGTAGATTGCATTTTTAAGTACTACAATAACATAAATCGTCATGTATCTTTCTGATTTTTGTGATCATTTTTAGATTTATTAATTAACTCTCCCAATATATACTCCATTCGTCCTTTTTTATCTGTGGTTCTCACTTCTTGAGAAATCAAACTTAGCCAACTTTGACAAAATATATAAAAATATTAACATTTACAGTACATAATTAGTATCATTAAATATATCATCGAATCTATTTTTATAATAAACTTATTTGAAGATACAAATGTTGCTACTATTTTTATAAACTTAGTCGAAGTTAAAAAGTTTGACCAGCATACTTTCCATAGCGACTGATAATAAGTGACGGTGGGAGCACGGGTTTACTTGGTTTGTGTAATGGCACGTAGCATTATGCTTATTTTAATTTAACAGCGAGTGAAGTGTGCAAATTACAAATATATATGTCGTGTATATATAGTGTATTTTATAGCTATTGAATTCTTATGTATAATACCTTATATTAGTATATATATATAAGTAGATTTGAATGCTATTTTAGTTTGTTTCATAACGGCATAGGTGAATTATTTAGACACAGATAAAGACGTTTGTTTAAATAGTATTTCATGCTGACATATGTGCATAGTTTAGATGTAAATTTTAGGGGTCATTTTGCATTGTTTTTCATAACTGTAGACGCGGGTAATTTAGATGCAAATTGAAAAGATTATTTTAAATTATCTTTTATAAAGGCGGAGGCGAGTAATTTATATACAAATTTAGGGCTATTTAGATTATCTTTCATAGTAGCAAAGGTGAATAATTTAGATAAAAATTAGGGAGGTATTTTATATTATATTTTTATAATAATAGATGTAGATAATTTAGATACAAGTTTATGATGTTATTTTAAATTTTATTCTTAATTGTAGATGTGTATACTTTTTTTATAAAATAAGACATAATGAATGCAATGATTATTATTGGCAATAATGATTAGAGTTTATCAGATTAAATGTCAGTTATTTCTAATTATTGTGAGAATTTATAGAGTACCACATCTCATAAGGATTAACGTGGATGCTCTTGAATGCTGGAAGTGCACAGTACATGTCGCTTACCCGCCTCCCCCGCGCACGGTGTGCTGCTGCCGGCGTCGCTACCCGCTAACCGCCACGACGTTACTGAAAAAGAAAAGGGATCCAATCGAGACCCCACCACCGAACGAGTCCAAATCCGCTCGTCTCCCCTCGAAGTAACTCCGGCGCTCGCCGGCTCCGTGTTCTCCGGTTCTCCCACCCATCCAAGCGCAGCTCCGGAAGCGCCAGGGGCGGACGAGCGCCTCCCAAATTTAGCAGCCGTGGAGCGCGTGGGCGTGTGCCCGTAAGGAGGATCGATGGGGTACCTGCCGTCCCTGAGCAGCAAGGCGGCGCACTTCGTGTCCGACCTCACCACGGTCATCCTCAACCCCGTCTCCGAGCGCGAGACCTCCCACCTCCCCGTGAGACACCGGATCCCCGCTCCCTTCCCTTCCCCTCCCCTCTCGTGTAGGCGATTCAGTCCGGTTTTGGATTGAGGGTCTCGCTCGCGCTCCCGATTCGGGCGGTTGGGCGACTCGGGCTGTGACATCCGCTCGGGTAAAGAGTGATTTCGCAGCTGGGGCGTCCTATCGTTAGGGTTTGGTGTGCGATTCCTGGGGGTTTTAGTGTTGATTGATGCTAATTAGAACATGCTTTGGTTGGTGGAACTATTGCTAGCTTGGCAAGCGCTCTTGTTTAGTTCACGCGGAGGATTTTCTTCTGGTATGAGCTTATTCAGAAATTGGCGCTCCAATGCAGTTAGGGCTGTTCACTGGGCCAGTCCTGAAATAATTTTGGTTTAAAGATGTTTAGAAGATGCCTATGGTATGCAGAGGGCACACTTATATAGGTTAACTCCATCAATGTATCTTGCATTGCCTGTGCGTTTTCACTTATCATGCGGGAAAGTTCTGATGGAAACCAGAGTTCTATCCGCCCTTGGTTAAATTTTCAATTAAGTCTTTTTATGATGTCATTGAGTGGCTGATAGATGTAGCTGCAAGGCCAAAGTTGATCAGCCAATGCACGCTTTCGAAAAAAAGGCCAAAGTTGATCAGATGGTATTTTGGTAGCTTTCCATTTCTTTATTCTCTCTTTTACTCTTTCATGCTGGAGTCTGTTGCATGTCGCCAGATGATGATTTCTGTACTAGCACTTACTCTTAACCATATCAGATTTTCATTCATCATCTCGTGTTACTGAAAGTTTATATTTCAATTTCTTTGGAATTTTGCAGGAGGTTGACGAAGTGCAAGAAAATTTGGAGGATGATAAAGATTCTGAGCACAATTCTGATAGCCTTGATGGCCCTGACACATCTTCCTTTAGAGCATTCTTGATCTCGTTTTTGTCATCGTCGAGCTCTAATAACGATTCAATGGAAATAATTCCTGAGCAGAATGGAGACATGGGTTACCCTACTTTAACACCCATGGGGAAGGGAAGCAAGGGAAGAACAGGTCTGATAAGTAGGGGGAAGCATTCCATCGGAAAAATCATTAACAAGGCGGCAAGGATTGGTGGTTTCAAACAAACAACTGCAGAGCCTAAAATTGACAGGGAGGTAGTAACTCATACTGAACCAGATGCACCTGTATTGGAGCGCCAGGAACCAAAGGAAGTTGCTTCCTTCAGTAGTTTGCCAACTATGTCAGAACCATCTGTTCTTTTGTCAGAACTGATGCAATCAATTCTTTATGCCTCTCTCCCGGTTCTTGCCCAGGGAAGGAACTGGGTCTTGCTATACAGGTTTAAGATGTCTCCCATTCTGATATGTTCTAACTTTTGATCATGCGTGTTACTGTTATCTAATGTTTATGTTCATACTGTGCAGTACATGGAGGCATGGTATATCGTTATCTACTTTATATAGAAGGAGCATGCTTTGCCCTGGTTTCTCACTCTTGGTAACGTTACTGTTTCCTAAGTAGCTCGAATGTTATGGTTTTTCACTATTACTTAAGAAACGGCAGCCTATTTCACCTCCACAGTTGCTAACTGTTTCATATTTTTAAGCTATAGATCTTATTTAACTCCATAAGTTACTATATTGTTGATGATGTGGATTTTATGGGCACTCATAGCATCATCTGATATAATTTCAAAAAAAGTGCCATAGATTGCTTATTGCTACTTTTCCATTCTTCATCTTCTGATGTTATGTTACATTACAGGTTGTTGGGGATAAAGAAGGTACAATTTTTGGTGGTTTAGTTGAGGCCCCATTGCAGCCATCCAGTTCAAAGAAGTATCAGGTTTCGCCTCAATATTTTGATAAATTGTTTGTTAAAAAAAATCTTGTGCTGAATATTCTGCAAATTAATCTTGCAGGGGACCAATAATTCCTTCGTTTTCACTAATTTACACAATCACCCTGTCATATATCGACCGACAGGTAATTTTCAGTTTATCCATTTCATGGTTTGCGTGATAACATCAAAATATGGCAAAATCTCTATTTCATGTTATTTCAGCGCATTTAATTTAACAATTTACCAATGCCGCTGTGACTTTGTTGTGCATTCTGAGAACTGTTTTTCTTTGTGTAAGCTATTGAAAATCTACTTACTGCAGGCACAAATAACTATTTTACGGTGTTAGGGATTTTTTTACCCATGCACTTAGGTGTCAATCTAGTTTGAGGATTGAGTAACATTTAAAATATTTTAGGCCGTGTAATTTTAATTATGCAGAGGTTGGAAGTGATGTGAAGACCGGTTGTATCATCTTGATGTAATAGTCTTGTTTTCAATAAGCTTCCTTTATCTAAAAGTAAAAAACTTGCTGCAGGCGCAAATAACTATTTTACGGTGTGCTCCACTGACTATATGGCTCTAGGGGGAGGAGGTCATTTTGCACTTTATCTTGATGCAGACCTGTAATATCTCGCACCATCTACGACTGGTATACAAGTCATTGTTAATTTCCGCACAACTCACCTGTATTTTCTGCATTTCTCTTTGCAGCTTGACTGGTTCAAGTTCTAATTCAGAGACTTTTAACAACGGGTGTTTATCGCATTCTCCAGACTTCTCAGTGAAAGATGTTGAGGTATTTAAAACATTCGAGCATTGTGTATTTGTGTTCTGCGATTTTCTTCCTGGTGAACATAACTACATCCATATGATCAAGAAGCTTTCAATTTTAATCTATCAACGTAAATAATTCTGCAAGGACATAACGAGCCCTTTTATGGCCGTCCACATGTTCTGCAAGTTTGGGAGAAAGGCCTTTATGAGCCCTTTTAATCTATTTAAGTACTTCAACTGTTCTTTTCTCGTTTAATGCAGCTTTGGGGCTTCGTCTACCCTTCCAAATACGAGGAGATGCTAACACTCTGTCGGACAGAGAAAACAGGAATCTGTCGATGGTGACCATCACATAGCCAGTTGAACATCCAAATAGACATGTCACGTCTGTACAGTTTAGTAGGCTTTGAGAGTTGCCAGCATTTTTGTGCGCAGGACCAGGTAGTACTGGAGTCTGGAGACTTAACTTTTTCTCAAGCGTCAAGCGAGTTTGCTCCGATTTGTAAATACTGTATGTACTTTTGTTACTGCCACATGGTGAAACATGGACGTTACTGGTTGTTCCAGTGTTGCGCATTTGAGCCTTTTTCCTGTGTCAAATTGAAAGATGCTCCGGACTTGCCACTAAACAGTTTAAACGCATCATGATGTCATGACATTTTTTTTTCTCCTATGCCATTCTGTCCATTAACCGTTTGGTTTTTACCGTTTGCTAACACTGACACGTGAGCCCGGCCAGCGAAAATGCCTAAAACGCCCTTCTCTCGTAACCCCATTCTCTACTTCTTTCTCTCCCTCTTCCTCTGGGCTGGGAACTGGCGGACTGGGAAGCCGAAGCGCGAGGCCGGGACATCGCCGCTTGGGTCGCAGAGCCGGAGCGCGGGGCCGGAGACACCGTCGCTGGGGGCACGGGGCCGGGACGCTCCTCTCCTTTGCCAAGGGCGGGGCGGACGCCAAGACGCCGACGCGCGCGTGGATGCCGTGGCCGACGCGGACGCCAAGACCGCCATCGCCGACAGGCCGGAGCTATTCCGGGACCTCGTGCGGATCCTCAGGGACGCCGCGTCGATGGTGCGGGCCGGGGCCATCCCGGCTGCTGCCTGTGCGGTGGGCGCGCCGTCGATGGAGTCGGTGGGCGCGACTTACGATGGCCGAGCTCCGACGAGCACCCGTCCGCGCCCGCCGCCGGACGCGTCCCGCGCCGTCGGCCTCGACACCTCCAGCGCCGCCTGGCCCTGCGCGCCCCGCCCCGCGAGCTCCGGCCGCCATGGCCGCACGGCCGCGTGCGCCCCTGCGCGCGCTCGCCGCACCCAGGGCTGCGCGGTCGGGAGCAGCCTGGCCTGCAGCGGACGCCGCCGCTGCTGGCCGCGACGGCCTGCACAGCTGAGCCTCGCCGCCATGCCAAGCCGGGAGCCGACCCCGTCGTCCGCGACCTCGTCAAGCCGACGTTCGGGCCCGCGGCCACGCCACCTCGAGTCCGCCTCCCGCTCCACGCGCTCACGGCGTACCGCGTCAAGTGCTGCACGCGCGCCGGCGCGCTAGGCGACGGCCGCGCCGCACACGCGGCCGTGATCAAGCTCGTCCTCAGCGCCAATGTGTACACCGCCAACTCGCTCGCCTCGGCCTCGTTAGGGACGCCAGCGGCCAGGCCGCGCCTGCCCCGTGGCGGCGGCGCCCCCAGCCCCCTTGCCGCGGCCCCAGCCCCTAGGATACCAGCCCCAGGCGACGGCGCCCCCATCCCATGCCTCTCCAAGAAGTGCACGGTGAAGAAGAGAGGTGAGGGTATTTAAATCTTTTTCCAACGTAGATTTATACCATTACATGAAAAGGTGGACGTAACGGCTTGAGAGAGAGAAAAAAAAAAGAATGTCATGATATCAAGATGTATTTGAAATTTTTAGTGGCGCGTAGGTTGAGTATCTTTCGTAATGGCACGTAGAAAAGTTCTAGGCATTTTGAGGTAAACTGTCACTGGTGGATCAGGCTTTTGCCAGGACTCACGGAACAGGCGTCAACCTGTTCAAAGCCAGACATCTAGATCCGGAAGCAATCATTAAAACGTCCACCGATGAATGGTCCTCACTCAGAAGTCAGAACACTGCATAATCATCATTTTAGTAGAATTGAAGTGCAAAACTACAACGCCAAAATCCTGCAGTTAGTTGCCATTCCAAATGTGCTGGGACGTAGCATCAGATATTCAGATTATCACTCAGTAACCTAGTATAAACGAATGGAAGTCCTACAGCATTTCTGAGTTGGTCGCATGATCTGCATGGGTAAAACTGCAATTGCAAAGAATAATCACACGACCACAACTTCAAAAAGAGCACTGCAGCACTGCACCATATATCTCGTCCTCACGAAACAAGTGAAAACACAATTACACAAACGACAGCAACAGTCACCAAAGAGACTTTTATTGTCCGAAGTAACAAAACACCAGCTTCAACATCTGAGTGAACCCACCAGTAAAAAAAAAAATACCTCATGTGGTTTCACAAGCTAGCAGAAAATCATTAAAGAGACTATTAAAATAGTGCGGCACTATTGTAGACTCCCTCTTCCACCATTCTGGTACCTCAGTCCTCATCAAGCAGCCTGGGAATAAAAACGGAAGCCACTTGACTCTGCGAGCAAACCCTCAAATGTCACAGGATGGTAAAGAACGGATAGGGGTTGGGGGTTTCTTTTTCTGCGATGGCAGGGTAGCTAATTAGCTATACATGAATGAAATATCTACAGCACTAAGTTGGAATTTGCCTACCATCATTTTATTACTTTCGTTCGATTGAAAAACTGTTGAAAATTGACCAACTATTTCCTATCATGATAGGAGGTTTCCTATAACTCGAAGTATGACGCCATGTACAGTCTTACTCCAATGTCCACCGCACAATCCTCACCACCAATTGCATGAAGAACCACAGGGATGTCACTCAGGTAATGTATCACCAAGGGCAGAACAGCTGGAGTGGTCTGAGGTTTCACTGCGTCGCCACTCAACAAAACAGACTTGGCAGTGCAGCCGCCAGCTTCTGTTGCTCCTGATTCCTCATCTTCTTCAGACAACTCTGAAGGGTTCACCACCATTGCGACTTCCTCAATTGGCCTGCACTTCATCTGAGTTCCCCTCCTTTGAGCAGGCTTGTTCCTGCATGCATCAAGCACTAACGTTGCAGTGGCTTCTAACCATTCAACTGATAAGCCCTCAACTTCATCATAATATATCCTTCGTTCCATCTGCATCATAAAATCACACTGAGGTGAGGAAGAAGAAAAATGAAACAAGTGCTCCTTTTATATGAGGGTTGGCAAAAAACCATACCGCAAGCTTGGGCACATAAACTGACATGAATCTGGGTCCAAGCCCCAGAACTCTAGCATTGCAGACCACAACCTGCAAAGATAAGAGTTAAAAACAGCAGAATTCAAAATAAAGCTCACGGGAAAACTTGCTTGAAAGCTGGAAATGGTGATGCCCCAATCACCTCTTTGTTCTTTATCAGAGCCCACATGTAGAGCTTCTGTCCAGCATCTTCTGTACGGCGACCAGCCCACTTTCTTTCATTACAGTGTTCAGCAATCTCCCCGAGATTTTCAGAGTAAGGAACCTTAAATTTCTTAGCTGCATCAGAAAGTGCTTTTTTTCCTTCTTCAGATTCAGCAGCATCCTTGCACAACTGGAGGCCTGTAAAACATCTATCCATCAATTCACAAGAGGCTTTGACTCCATTCCGGCCTGTGGAAGATTTCTTTTGCTTCATATACACTTGTTCAGCCTCAATCACTGCATTCAGAGTCCTGTGAACAATTATATCAGGATATCTTCGAAGTGGTGAAGTGAAGTGTGTATACAAAGGGACAGACAGCGCATAATGTGCCCAATCATCTTTCTTGCTTATCAGGTCCCCTGTGCAAAAGTATTCTGCTGACTGCATTTGCTTTGAAGCATAAAACATGAGAATATCAAACATAACAGGATCCTCTTGCAACTTTTCCTTTATTCTAGAGAGTGAAAGGTGGAGTTGACCAGATGATGAAGCATCCAATTCAAAACCATTCTTAGCACAAAATGCCTCGAACTCTCTGAACTTCCGCAAATTAGGTTCAGGGTGCCTACGAAGTAAGGCACAATCAGGGAATGCATTAGATATGACTTCTGCAGCTGACATATTCGCCAACAACATTAGTTCCTCAACAATGAAGCATGCATTGTTCCTCACATAGCAATAGCTATCACATGGAGCCCCATCTTCATCAAACAAGATCATAAGCTTTGCAGTGTCAAGAGAAAGAGCTCCACCCTTGAACCTAACTTCCTTCAGATTTTTTGAGACCTCATAAAGGCCTCTAAGTGACTTGATAACATCATCTCTCTCAAATTTACCATGTACTTCAAGAGAAGAAACAGCAGATCTAGCCTGACTGGCTTCATTACAAATCAAATCCTGCACAAGCTCATATGACAGCTTGCAGCACGAAAAGATGACGCTTCGACCAATCCAGCGACTAATTATGTTACCATGAGGATCAATATCCCAAATAATTGAAAAGGCAAGCCTGTCTACACCTGGATTAAGCGAAACCACTTCTGAAAGTCTTGAAGGCAACATTGAGATTTTGCGTTTCAGGGTGTAGACACTAGTAGATCGGCTTTGAGCTTCAGCATCTAACGCAGTCTCTGGATGTACAAAGTAGGAAACATCTGCGATGTGAACCCCAATACGGACAGTTCTGCCTGAAAGTATTTCAATTGATATAGCATCATCAAGATCTGATGCAGTAGGAGGGTCTATTGTAAAAGACAAGACCTCCCTCAAATCTTTTCTTGCTTCAAGTTCTTTTTGAGAAATCTTCCAACAATTGTCAGGAAGACATGCCAAGGACTCGGGGGAAAACTCAGCATCAGATATCGCATTCTCAAATAATATAGCATCCATGTGTGTTTTAACATGACCACCCTTCCCCAAGAACCGTATAACATGGGCATAGGGATAGAGATTTTCGTCATTCCATTCATCAATTCGTGCAGCAACTAATTCCTTCTCAATAGCTGCATCACCCCTTAGGCTCTGTCTGACACTATCTGGCAAAGTGCTAAAACTCACAACCATCGGAGGGAATTTGGGGTCAGTAGGCAAGAGATGAAACAAGCCTGTAACTGATGATGCTCTGTTGTTCATCCTCTTTAGACCCATCTGATTTCTCTGCTGCTCTCCATCAGGGAACTCTGAGAAAGAAGCAAGGAAACCTACAATGGCATCACGGCGCGGAGATTTCTTAATGACTGATAATACTTTCCCAGTAGGACGTCTGCTTGGATGAGAGTATATCATGGCACAGATCCTTTGTAATGCTCTCGCAGCCTCACTCTTTCCATCATTCAAGTCTATCTCATTCCTTTCAGGGACAGTAGCATTCCCATTTCCACACTTAACAGCTTGACTAAAACCACTGTTCTTGTGTGGGGGTTGCATCCTATCCAAAACAGGTAAGCCGTTACTGCAATTTTCAAACCTGCAGCCGACATCTGCATGTCCTTTCTTCCAACTATGATTCCCATTTGTTTCAGTAAACTCACGGACCACAGAATCTCCTCCTATCGCAGGGTTGCATGCAACATTCGGACCTTTCATTCTGGTCCATTGAGCAACAGGGTCCAGTGTGATAGCAACAAGATCACCTTCAACCTGCAACGTAATTCATGACATAACATGATGCTGTGAGTTCAAAATCCGTGTAGCATAAATAGGCAAAGCTAGAGAGCAGAATGGTATAGGCACTGCAAGCATTGGAACTCGACCCCTTATAACAGACCATATGGTAAGACATCAAGATAAAAAGAAGTGCATACAGACATATGCATATCACCAATAGCACTAGTTGTTTGTTTAGGAAGCATAATCTTTGTTAGGAGTACTGGTACAGAAATAGAAAAGCCTCTTGCATGCAAGAAGATAAAATTTATTGAATGAAAGGATGAAGGAGAGCACCGCACCTGCAGCAGAACACTAAAACCCAATAAAATGGTCAATAAGGTAAAACTAGCAATGCAGTTTTGTTTGAATTATTTCCAAAAGTAAAAGCTATTGTGGTAATAATTCCGATGGTCACATGTTATTCCCAGAGAAATGCCAATTGGTGCTGGTTGCAGTACTGACTAAGTTCAACATGAAAGCACATTACCAATATAAGGTATAGCATGCTTCAACCAGCTCTGCAGGGGACAAGCTAGTCATACTTTATGTGCCTAGTGTGCAGAAGGTACGAGTTGTTTTCAGCACAAATTGAGATGCCCACTTCTACCATGACAAAACTTGATAGTTGGTGATGCTATATCACAGGAAGGAAACAGTGGCGGAGGACGGAAAAAAGTTTAAGGTATGACGAAATGGATAATATATAGATAATAAAATAATATCTTTTATTAAAATGGTTTATACACAAGACGCTGTAATATCTCTCTGATTTTGACATCGCTTTTTGCTTTTTGTTCCATTTTTTTATTAGTTTACTGTGCTTCAAAATCAACCGACCCA